CCGTGAAGCTTATCTATCTATCTCAAGGGTCTTCAAACTTGGCCCTTTTATGACTGGTGGACTTCAACTCCCAGAATTCCTCAGCCAAGCGTGAGGGAACTATGACCCTTTTATGACTTGTGGACTTCAACTCCCAGAATTCCTCAGCCAGGCATGCTGGGTAAGGAATTCTGGGAATTGAAGTCCACAATTTCATCAAAGGGCCAAGTTGGAAGACCCCTGTTCTATAGAATATATAAGGCAGGTATGAGTATTTTGAGGAAATCTTGAAGGAACATTCTGGAAAAAAAGAGTAGATAGAGGCCTAGTTCAGATTTTTGTGGGCTGTTTTGTGGCTCCGCGGCTGGAAGAGAGGTAATTATCACTAAATGTAGAACAAGGGTAAGATTTCTGCTTTTTTCCCCCCTCATAAAGAATGTAATACAGGTATGTAGTCCTAAACCAGGGCTCATCAAACTTGGTCCTTTGATGACTGGTGGACTTCAACTCCCAGAATTCCTCAGCCAGGCACACGTGCCTGGCTGAGGAATTCTGGGAGTTGAAGTCCACCAGTCATCAAAGGACCAGGTTTGAAGACCCCTGATCTATCTACACGTGCGCAAGGGAAGCGTGAACTTTGGAGCAAAACAGGCTTTGCTTTTGTGCCCGGCAGGTGGAGAGATTCCTGGCTCACCTGTCCGACTTTGCTGCGGGGAATAAAATCAGCCTTGGCCCTTTGAAGAGTATTGTCAAAAGCCTTCTGCTGGTGCCCAGTGGTGAGTGTGGGGCAGACCCTCCCCAGGTCTTGGGTCTGTCTCTGGAAGGGGGGGGAACAACTCTGACTATCTATCTGTCTGTCTGTCTGTCTGTCTGTCTGTCTATCTATCTATCTATCTATCTATCTATCTATCTATCTATCTATCTATCTATCTATCTATCTATCTATCTATCTCAGTGGTTCTCAACCTGTGGGGTCGATTGACCATTTCACGGGGGTCGCCAAGCAAGGCTGGCCGCCATTTTTTTTGTCCGCCATTTTTTTTGTCCGCCATTTTTTCCCCCTTTTCCGGCGGGTGCCTTACCTCCCTTGGGCTGGGCCAGCTGGTGGTCGGCCTGCTCCGTCTCTGCCGCTTGCCAGCTACGCCTCGGCCGGTGCAGGGGGCGGAACCACGCATGCGCGGCGCTCCCGGGCAGGGAAAGTCCTCGACTTACGACCGGTTGGGTAGTCCTTGACTTACGACTGGTTTAGTCCTCGACTTACGACCGGTTTAGTCCTTGACTTACGACCGGTTTAGTCCTCGACCTACGACAGGTTTAGTCCTCGACTTACGACTGGTTGGGGTCGCGGCATTAAAAAGGTTGAGAACCACTGATCTATCTATCTATCTATCTATCTATCTATCTATCTATCTATCTATCTATCTATCTATCTATCTATCTATCTATCAAATTTCTGCACTGCCTTTCACTCTTAATCAACTCTGGCCGGTTTACAAACCACATTATAAAATGATATAAAATTTTTAGCAGGGTTTTAAAATAATTTTAAAATAACAAAGGCCAATCTAATATTTCTTTTTAATTATGTTTTTAATGATAGTATTTTGGTATTTTTTGTATTTGTTTTTATCAGGCTGTTAGCCGCCCTGAGTCCGCAAGGAGAAGGGCGGGGTAAAAATTCAATAAATAAAATAAATAAATAAATAAATAAATAAAATGGTACTAAAAAGCACAGCTAAGAACAGAGTTTACAAAACACGGTTTTGACAACCTTTACAAAGCTAAAATTGAATTTAGGATGATTCAGGATGGTTCTTCTGAGTCACGGAGCGCCAGTGGGGCCTGTCTCCCTCCCGCCGGTATCCAGAAGGCGTCATAGGAAATTCTGACTATAATGGTATTTCTTACCCTACGGTAAAATCCCTCAGGCATTATAAAAAGAAACAGTCTTGCTGCTAAGAAAAAGAGAGCTGATAGGAGGCATAACTATAATTAATTGTTTTCTTGCAGACGTTTCATTATCTAACTAGGTAACATCATCAGTGCTAGTAAGTCGGGAACACTGACTCCTTACTAGCACTGATAAAGTTACCTAGTTGGGTCATGAAACATCTGCATGAAAACAAGCAAGCTCAGAGAGCACCAAGGACCCCACAATTGTCGTCGTCGTCGTCCTCCTCCTCCTCCTATTCCTATTCCTCCTCCTCCTCCTCTCCACACACCCCACTCCCTTCTAGCACTGATAATGTTACTAGTTGGGTCATGAAACGTCTGCAAGAAAACAAGCAAGCTGAGAGAGCAGTAAGGAGCCCTCGTTTCAACCCTGCACTACAAACATTCTGCTTCATTGGTAAAACAATGATTAGCAGAGATAGGAATACTGATAGTAGAGAATATTGGTAGCTCAGCGTTGAACCGTGGGGTCCTGGGTGCTCTCTGAGCTGAGTGGTTTCCTTGCAGACGTTTCATGACCCAACTAGGCAACATCATCAGTGCTAGAAGGGAGGGGGGATTGCTCTGTGTGTGGCTTTTGCTGTCAGCGTTGGTGAGAATGTTGTTTTCCTCTTGGCGATTCCTTGATTAGCTTATTGTTCACTGTTAACTTGTTTGTCTGAGTTGGTACCGTAGTTCCTTGACCGGGGTATTGCTTACTACTGTAAATTAAACTAAAATAAAAGAAAAAGAATAAAATAAAAAAAATGAAATAAAAAAAAATAAAAATATTATAAATAAAATAAAGTGAAGTAAAATAAAATAAAAATAAGCCACGTTTGGAGTGGATCACTGGAAGTTTTTAAGAAGAGACTGGACAGCTATTTGTCTGAAATGATATAGGCAGGGCTTTTTTTCAGCCGGAACGCGGCGGAACCGCGTTCCGGCACCTTTTTCCGGGCCGGCCGCACCGGAAATAGCCCCTCCCACACCGGAAATAGCCCCTCCCAAATTTTACTTGCATTCCTGTTCTCTAAAGGGGCGGTCCTAGGGTTTGATGAGGGCGTGGCCAGGTTTGAGTTCCGCCACCTTTTCTCCGAGAAAAAAAGCCCTGGATATAGGGCAGTGATGGCGAACCTTTTAGAGACCGAGTGCCCAAACTGCAACCCAAAACCCACTTATGCATCGTTGGGTGCTGGGTGGGTGTGGCCCATTGGGTGGGTGTGGCCCATTGGGTGGGCATGGCCCATTGGGCAACGGCAGACTGGGTGGGACTAAAAAGTTCAATCAATCAATTCCAACTTTGCAAGATCTTATTTTTTCCTGCGAGAAGTTGAAATTGACTGATTGATTGAACCTTTTTTTTTTTGCACACGGCGGCGGAGGCCTAAAGCAAAAAGGTTTTATAAAACCCAGCTGAAGGCCTAGGACTGGGGTGACGGCGCGCGTGCCCAGAGAGAGGGCTCTGGGCACCCGTGCCATAGGTTCGCCATAGGTTCGCCACCACTGATATAGGGCTTTGTGCATAAGCAGGGGGTTGGACTAGATGACCTCCAAGGTCCCTGCCAACATCATCATCATCATCATCATTATCATTATTTAGTGAAATAATAAAACAAGTTAAAAAAAACAAAAAATAGAAATAAAATAAAACATAAAATAAATTTCAGAGTTCTTTGAAAGATGGGCAGCTATATAAATGTTTAAAATAAAATCAAATAAAAAACAACTCAAACAATAAAATCAAATAAAAATAGAACTCAAACAATAAAATCAAATAAAAACAACTCAAACAATAAAATCAAATAAAAATAGAACTCAAATAAAAATTAAAACTCAGTAATATCAAATAAGAATAGAGATCAAATAAAAAAATAGAACTCAAATAAGATAACAAAACAAAAAACAGAAAACAGGCAATAAAATAGGACAAAAAAATAGAACTCAAATAATAAAATCAAAGAAAAGACAGAAATCAAATAAAAATAGAAATCAAATAAGATCATAAAATAAAAAAATAGGAATCAAGCAATAAAATAAGACAAAAAATAGAACTCAAATAATAAAATCAAATAAAAATAGAAATCACATAAGATCATAAAATAAAAAAAAAATAGGAATCAAGTACTATAACAAAATAAAAAAAAATAGAAACCAAGTCATAAAATAAAACAAAAAAACCCAGAAATAAAATAAAATATAATAAACTTCAAATGTAGGGTGAATCGCAAGCACCCCAAAAGGGCCCCAGTTCGCTTTGCTTGTTCTTCTCCCATAATTTCGCTCTGGGGTCCTTGAGGCCAGCGCGTGCCTTATCTTCTCTTTGTGTGTTTGTCAACCGGGCTCTCTTGCTGGATTTTTTGTATTTTTACACAATGTTTACTCCAGGTGCCTTAAAGAGGAGCTTGTCTGCTGAAGAGGTCCGAGCAGATCTTATCACCCTGGGTAAGTCTCTCCCTGCTGGGCTCCGCTGGGAGTCTCTGGCGGGCTACTACTGGTTCCACGGCCCCGCTTTGACCGTCTCAAATTTCTCCTGCAGGGCTGAGCGAGGAAAAGGCCAGGTATTTTGAAGAACAGGTAAGGACTTCCCTGGATGGCCCAGGTATCCGGCTTTGGCATTTTGAAACACACACGCACACGCACACACGTGCGCACTAAAAAAAGCTTAGAAATCTCTGATCTTGGAAGAACTTCCCAGAAGACCAACAGCATCCCCTTAATAGTTTTCTTTGAACGTTTTCTCTTTCTCTCTCTTTCTTTCTTTCATTTATCAATCTATCATCTGTCTGTATCTATCATATCTATCTATCATGCCTAACCCTAACCCTATCTATCTCATTTTTCTTTCTTTCCTTCTTTCCTTCTTTCTTTCTTTCTTTTTTGTTCTTTCTTTCTTTCTTTCTTTCTTTCACACACACACACACTAAAAAAAACTTAGAAGTCTCTGATCTCAGAAGAACTTCCCAGAAGACCAACAGCATCCCCTTAATAATTTTCTTTGAAAGTTTTCTTTCTTTTTCTTTCTTTCTTTCTTTCTTTCTTTCTTTCTTTCTTTCTTTCTTTCTTTCTCTTTCTCTCTCTCTCTCTCTCTTTCTCTCTCTCTCTCTCTCTCTCTCTCACACACACACACACACACATACACCCCAAAATTACAGAGGGGGAATCCAAATAATATTTTCCAAACCTGCAGACTTAATTTCTCCTATTTTCTCACTGTAAGGAGTGTGTGTAAATGTTGGTGTCCTTTCTCAATGCAAAACCCAGAAATGACTTTCTAAGGCAGTTTTTCTCAACCTTGAAAAACTGAAAGCACGCCGGCTGGGGGATTCTGGGAATTGAGGTCCACCCATCTTAAAGCACACTGGCTAGGGAATTCTGGTAGTTGAAGTCCACCCATCTTAAAGCATGCCAGCTGGGGAATTCTGGGAGTGGAAGTCCACCCCTCTCAAAGCCTGCTGTCTGGAGAATTCTGGGAGTTGAACTCTGCCCATCTTAAAGCACGCTGGCTGGGGCTTTCTGGGAATCGAAGTCCACCCATCTCAAAGTTGCTGAGGTGGAGAAATATTATTCTAAGGTTAAAAATCACGCAACCCAATGGGATCCTTGCGCGAACGAGCCCACTGTGGTTATTTCGCCCGTTAATTTTTGGTGTGGTTCAATCAGACCAGTTGACTTAACTCTTCAAACTATAGCCGGGTAGACCATCTTTACCGTGTGAACACAGCAGGCAGGCGCCCTCCGTTTGCGTGAGCGGCAGGCGCGTGTGCACACACACCACACAAAGGGAGCTCCGTGCACACTTGCCGGCCACTTGTGCAAACCATCTCCCCCTCACACACACACACACCGCAGGTCCCCAAAGTCGGAAACGTTGGGGAATTCTACCACAAGGGTTCCTTCATTCGAGGAAACAAATAAATAATCCAAAATGACATCCCAGCCACTACAGGTAATCCTCAATGTACGACCACCACGGAGCCCGAAATTTCTGTCGCTAAGCGAGACCGTTGCTAAGTGAATTTTGCCCCGTTTTACGGCCTTCCTTGCCACCCTTGCCAAGTGAATAGCGGCAATAATTAAATTAATCTCACGGTCATTAAACGAATCTGGCTTCCCCCCCATCAACTTTGCTGATCAGAAGGTCGCAAAAAGGGGACACTCGTGACGCCCCCCGGGGAGGCTCCGACCGTCGTAAATACGAGTCAGCTGGCAAGCACCTGAATTTTGGTCACGGGACCACGGGGGTTAACCGCAAGGTTGTCGTAGATGTGAAAAACGGTCCTCGGTCACTTTTTTCAGTGCCGTCGTAATGCCAAACGGTCCCTGAAGGAATTGTCGTAAGTCGAGGACCCGCAGTAGCTGCCTTGCAGGGCTCGAACCCCTCCAATTAAAATTAAAATTGTGTCTTTTTATCTTGGTTTCAGTGGAAGGGGAACTCCCCCGCCCTCTCGCGACTGGCCGTGGGGCAGACGCTGATGGTTAACCAGTTAATAGACGTGGAGTGGAAATTTGGGGGTGAGTTCTTTTCTGGGGGGGCACGGGGGGCAGAGTGAGGGGTGCCTTTGTCAACCTCCGTGTATAAATCTTTTCTCTCTCCCGACAGTGACAGCCGGAAGCAGTGAGCTGGGAAAGGCAGGAAGCATTTTCCTGCAGGTAAGATGGATTTGGGGAAGGGACAGGTAGGACCGGGGGGGGGGGAAGGAGGGGGCGGAGGAAACTGCATACAGGTAGTCCTTGAGTTACAAGCTGTTGTAAGTTTGTTGTAAGGTGAGTTTAGGGCCGTTTTTTACACTTAACGACCGTGGCAGCCTCGCCGTGGCCCCACGATCGAAATCTGGACCAGTGGCATGTCATTGTGACAGCTGCAACGTCACGTGACCCAACTTTTTGTGCGCTTCTGACAAGCGGAGTCCAGATTCATTTAACAACGGTGTGACTAATAATAATAATAAAGTTGGAAGGGACCTTGGAGGTCATCTAGTCCAACCCCCTGCTCAGGCAGGAAACCCTATACCATTTCGGACAAAGGGCTGTCCAGTTTCTTCTTAAAGACTTCCAGTGTTCAGTCTCTTCTGAACTGGCTGTCCATTCTCTTCTTAAAGACTTCACCGCTTCTGGAGGCAGGTAGTTCCACTGGTTAATTGTTCTCACTGTCAGGAAGTTTCTCCTTAGTTCCAGGTTGCTTCTCTAACTTAAGAGCTGCAGAAAGATCGTAAAATGGAGCAAAAGTGACTTAACAAAGGTCTCGCTTAGGGACATCAATCTTGGGGTTCAATTCAGTCAGTTGAGGACTATCTGTAAGGAATTTTCTCTCCATATTTCCCCCCTAAATGGAAAATTGTTCCCAATTTCCTTCCCTGTATTTCGGGAAATCCGAGAATCCTGAATTTCATCCGTCCCAATTGCATCTGTGCTTTTTTCCAGGTGGCAACTGGACTTCCTTGTTTTTTCTTTGAAGACGTTTCGCTTCTCATCCCAGAAGCTTCCTCAGGTTCTGACTGGATGGTGGGGGGGGAAGGGAAGGATTTATATTCCTTGCAGACAGCTGGTCTTTTGCCTTCCTTTGGAGAAGGCCCCACACCCATTTGCACCACTCAGGTGACCCCGAGGACACAGTTAAAGCTCCAGATGGCCTCAATAACTCTGAAACACGGGTGTCAAACTGGCGACCCCCGGGCTGGATAGGCTGCATGCAGGCCATGCCCATCCTGGCTCCCCAAAGGCAAAAAAAACATGATACATCACGCTACGTCATGTAATGCGATTGAGTTTGATACCCGTGCTCTAAAAGAAGGCAAACGACCAGCGCTCTGCAAGGAGTATAAATCTTTCCATTCTCCTCCAGAACCTGAAGAAGCTTCTGGGATGAAAAGCAAAAGGTCTTCAAAGGAAAAACAAAGTCTAGCTGCCTCCTGAAAAAAAAGCACCTTTGGGACAACCAGGAGCCAGGATGACTGGGAATCTCCAGAGACATCTGAATTTCATCTGTTGCATCTCCCAAGTGCAGGGACAGGCAACCTTGGCTCTTTTATGACTCGTGGACTTCAACTCCCAGAATTCCTGAGCCAGCATGGGGGAACTATGGCCCCCTCATGACTCGTGGACTTCAACTCCCAGAATTCCTGAGCCAGCATGGGGGAACTATGGCCCATTCATGACTGGTGGACTTCAACTCCCAGAATTCCTCAGCCAGCATGGGGGAACTATGGCCCCCTCATGACTCNAGCATGGGCGAACTATGGCCCCCTCATGACTCGTGGACTTCAACTCCCAGAATTCCTGAGCCAGCATGGGGGAACTATGGCCCCCTCATGACTCGTGGACTTCAACTCCCAGAATTCCTGAGCCAGCATGGGGGAACTACGGCTCCCTCATGACTGGTGGACTTCAACTCCCAGAATTCCTGGGCCAGCATGGGGGAACTATGGCCCCCTCATCACTCGGGGACTTTAACTCCCAGAATTCCTGAGCCAGCATGGCTCAGCTTGGAAACCTCTCCCTTTTCCCCTCAGCATGGCTGGCTCAGGAATTCTGGGAGTTGAAGTCCATGAGTCATAAAAGAGCCAAGGTTGCCTACCCCTGCCCAAGTGTTTCATGATGGGAGATTCCAGGGGTTGAGTTTTGGTTTCTAACACCTGCCTCCTTTGTTGTAACTGACCCAACTTTTTACGATTGATCTTCGTGTAGCTGAAACTGGTGGTAAAGAAAGGCAGCCAGACGGAGCCGGTGTACCTGGGTGAGTAAGCCAGCAAAGCCTGTGGGAAAACCCTGCAGGTAAATGGAGGGAGGGGTTGGAGAAGATGTGAGCCAGCTGCCTGTAGTACAGATTCTCCTTGACTTAACCACTATTCGTTTGATGAGCGTTCATGGTTACAACAGGGACTTACCACTGGTTTACGCCCTTAAGAACGTTGCAGCTTTGCTCCGTGGTCACGTGATCCAAAACTCAAAACGCTTGGCAACTGGCATGGACATAGGACGGTTGCAGCCTCCCAGAGTCTGGTGATCGCCCTTTGGGACCTTCTTAGCTGGCTTGCCACAGGCAAAGTCAGTGAGGAAGCTGGACTCGTTTAATGACCGCGCAATTCACTTAACGACGCTAGTGAATCATTTACCAGCTGTGGCGAAGAATGTCGCGAAGTGGGGCGCAGCTTTCTGAACAGCTGCCTGGCTTAGCGGCGGAAATGTTGGGCTGAGTTCGGGTTGAAAGCCGTGTTTTAATTCTTAATTTTGAACGTTTTCAAATGCTTTTCGTGTTCTTGCTGGTTTATATTATGTTTATTTTATTTCGGTTGTTTGCTTCTATCCCACACTTAAATTACTGTTTTTCAGTAAATAACTCAAGGTGGCAAAAAATACCCTAGGCCTGAAAGCCAGCTGGGTGAGCTTAGGCCCAATCGCCAGGTGACAGTGAGTTCTAGTCCTGCCTTAGGCCTGAAAGCCAGCTGGGTGAGCTTAGGCCCAATCGCCAGGTGACAGTGAGTTCTAGTCCTGCCTTAGGCCCGAAAGCCAGCTGGGTGAGCTTAGGCCCAATCGCCAGGTGACAGTGAGTTCTAGCCCTGCCTTAGGCCCGAAAGCCAGCTGGGTGAGCTTAGGCCCAATCACCAGGTGACAGTGAGTTCTAGTCCTGCCTTAGGCCCGAAAGCCAGCTGGGTGAGCTT